AGACGGCATAGTTATTGATTGAGACCCAGTAAACGACATTTTGTTCGCCACCTGAGCGGTAAGTGGAGTAGTCAATTAACGCAAGAGAAATTATCTTCGCGGCTGTCAGACCCATGCGGCGATTGGCGAGTGTGAATCGGAGATTGTGGCAGAAGGGGCGAGTGACCAAACGGACAAGAAGGTTGTCCGATATCCCGTTATGTATACAGGAAATAGGATTGACCGACAGTGACACAAAAGGATTGAATAAGACACACACACACACACACAGACTTAATAGCAGACAATCAACGGGCAGTCGGGGGGCCGGTGATACGGGCGGACAGGCAGGCAGGCAGGCAGGCAGGCAGGCAGTCAGGCCGGACGAAACGTCCGCAGACAGACTGCAATGCGCCGCACAGCCTTCGGAATGGAGCGACAGCCGGACATAACAGACACGAGCTTTGTGTAGAACAGTTATAGAGCTGAACAAGGCAGTAGGCATTGGCAACCGAAATTAGGCCAAGTTCATCGCCAGTCGGCGCACCAGTCAAAATGACCGAATGGAAACGAAACTAACTCATCAGTTCTATTATGAATCTCTCAGTCTGTCCAGATTTCCTTTTATCGATCCATCCATCTATACTCACGTGAATGTCTCTGAAACAACGCAGGTTGCATAAATAGCCTTGAAGTAGTGCCCGTCTCTTGGTGTCTATCCGACGCAGGATTAGGCGTATACCTCCATCACTAAGCCTGTTGTATCGGCTCAACTCTATTGCTATCAGTCTTTCTCTCGCCTTGTCCGATTGACCAATGACGAAGAGGAGTTGTTGTTGTATGAGTAAGAGCGGTATTCAGTGAAGCCAAAACCAGAACTGTTAGGTGGTCTGCGTGCACGCGTGTACGTGTGCCTACGAGAGGGTGAGTTGTAACGAGATCGTGCGGCCTGCGGGCAAATTGGCCAGTCGCGAAGGCGAGACCTCAGAGATTGAGCCACCGAAGGTCTCACCGGCAGACTCGCAAACGCACGCATGCACGCACACAAGCACGTAGAGACTTGCACAAGAGACCGTCGCAAGCTGAAAAGGCAGGCGTCAGCGCTTCGCCCGAGCCTTAGTCAGCACGGTCAGGCCTGCAGTCCTTCCGCTCTCCCGCATGCCTGCCTCACAGCGTCTCTCTCTCCCACGCAGTCGAGACCGCGCCATTTGGCCTCTCTGTTTTTCTCTTCGAGGCCGCCTCACATCGACTTGAGCGCCGCAGCCGCCGCCTGTCTTTCTCCTTTGTCTGCCGCCTCCTCGCCTCGCCCGCGTCGGCTTCCGCAGTTGCGGAAATAGCCGCGACTCGCCGTCCCCGTGCCAGGCCAACTGCCTCTTTCACGGCTGCGTTTGTCCGCTTGTGTGTGCACTGGGTGACCGGTCGCTTCGCTTGTCTCTTCCGTTGAATTCCCACCTGCCCGACTGCCCGCCTCTCGGCTTGCCTGCTTGACTGCCTGTCTGCCTGCCTGCCTGCCTGCCTGCATGTCCGCCCAATCCAGGTCAGGCTGAGCTCGCCTCGCGGTCGATGAACTCGCGAGGCGCCGTCCCAGGGCCGGCCGGGCCGTGCCACCTTTACGTTAACTCGCCGCCCGCCTACGCTGCGTCTTTGCGGTCCGGCAGCACCGGCAGCGAAGAGCAGCCCTACGGCTACACCCCTGTCTCAGGCTGGCCGGCGGCAGGCTACCCGAACCCGAGCATGAGCCCGGACGCCAACTTGGACCTGGAGCCTGGCCGACTGACGCCCCGTTCGTCGGCGCCCTATCAGCCCGGCCGTCTGCTGTCACCGGGCCAGCCGGAGCTTCGCTCCAGTCTCTCGAGGATAGGACAAATTAACCAATTGGGCTCTGTCGTCAAGGTCACCGATCCAACCGCCGCCTCCGTCTACCAGCCCGGCATGACGGTGGATCCCTCGAGTCATTACTTCGGTATGGACCCCAGACTGGCCAGCTTCGTTAGCAAGCACAACGTAGTCATGGACGACGGAGCGGTTATTTACACGCCGGATGGGCAACCGGGAAAGAAGTTGCACGTTCAGAAGTAAGTTATTTGCCGGCTCTTTCCGCCTCTTCTGCTTGCGTCTCTTGCAATCTTTGGTCTTGTCGTGGCGAGAAGAATGCGAGTGAAAATAATGCTCACGAGTTCCGACCACTTAAAATTCCCCCACTTGGTATGGTTACCCAAACAGGTTTACCGAGTGCACGAGACCTTCCTCGGTCCAATGCAGGTCAAATCTCGTTATAACGAAACTATTTCTAAGCTGACAAACAAATAAACAAATAAAAAACAATCGCATTAAACAAGACTATTCCTAATGTTGGCTCGACCTCGTTTTCGCAACTTGGTCGCCGCGACAAGAAGACATTGTGAAACATACCTACTCCTGCGTCACCCGTCTAGCGTCTAGTCTAGCATCGGACCGTCGACTTTGTATATCCAAATGCTGGACATCGTCAAGACTACTGACAGAAGACGCAGAACTATGTGTGATATACAATTTCTCCTTGTTGATCCGACCAAGTTGCGAAAATGTGATCAACCATTATTACAACACTTATATATATGCATATATGCATGCACGTAT